TGCACAACTGTTCAGTCCATAGTATTCTCAGCATCCTTCTGTAGCACCAAATTTCTGTTGCCTCATAAATCCTCATCAGGTTCTCTCTGAAAATGGTTTTGTCTAAAAAAAATATATATCTTTTCATTTAAACTTGTATATCTTGGTAGTTATACTCTGTAGAAGTCAAATAACTTAACTTCTAACATGGCCGCCTCCTTGTAAAGGCAGGCCAGCTAATCTACCTCATTTATAGGAGAGTACCTAATACAGCAGGTGGGTTAGTCCATTTTACTAGAATGGACCTACCCAACACAGTTGCATGAGTGGACTTTATTCCCTCCATTAAATCACTCAGTGTGTGTATCTCCATTTTGAGTGACTACACCAGTCTACCTGCATGTCAAACCACTTGCAATTAACCAATATTCAACATGGCGCTGTGAACAGGAATTGATGTTTGACAAGAGCTCCTTATTAAAATTGGCATTCCAGATGATTCTGCCAGGACTTATGCTGAAATTTTTGTAAAAGAAAGCATTACCAAGGATAGCCTCTCTATGATAGACCAAGGAATCCTCAAAGAGCTTAGATGTCACAACCATGGGACATGCCCCTAGCCATTTTAAAACTAGCAAAGGAGGCATCCATGTTAGAAGGTAAGTTATGTGACTTCTACATACTCAAATTCTTGACTACTGTACCTGATATCTTCAGGTGTCTATTTTTGTATTTGATAATTCCTCACCTAAAAATTTCTAATATAAATGAAAACATTGTGGCTTGCCTTCACAAGCAAATTTTGGAGGCTTTTCCACAATTGTTTTGAGGCTTGCTTACAATGACTGCAGAAGACACTTGGATCACCCTCACTTCTGTACTAGTAAAGTTTTGAGATGTTGCATAAAAATAAAAATTAAAAGCATTGTAAACAAAAATAAAAAGCTGTCTAAGACAAAGATGTGTCTTATTCAACCTCTACAATGAGGCAATTCTAAGAGAATTAGAATTCCTACCAGGATTCATTATTGGCAGCTACAATCTTAACAATACAAGATATACAGATGACAGTGTTGATAGCAGACACAGAAAGAAAACTACAAAATCTCCAACAGAAGTTAATGAAGGAAAGTGAGAAGAAAGGACTAAACATCAATTGTAAGTGAATGCATAGTTGCTAGGGACAGCCCAACATGCAAATTATAAATTGGGAATATCAAAATCAAACAAGTACAACAATGTAAATATCTGGAAAATGTTTTAACAGGGGATGTAATGTGTGACACTGAAATTTGAAGGCACATTAGGATAGCTAAAAGATGCCTTCCAAAAGCTAAGCAAAGTATTAAGAAACAAAGAAAATTTTTTATGACAAAAAAGAAAAAAGTATTCTATTATTAAATTTTGTTCTCACTATATATCCTCCTTTAGCCTTGATTACTGCAGCACAAATTTTTGGTATTTGTTGCAAAAGTTAATTGATTCCAGTCTTTTGTCAATGACTCAAAGAGCCCTTTTCATTTTTTTGGGATGGAAAGGTTTCACTCTTCTGTGAAGTTCATCCCCTGCTAATTCTGGGGGTCATGTCAAACTTTGAAACTGAAGTGTACATAATGCAAATAAGTTTGTTGATTATTTATATTTTAATTACCAGGCATTTGGCGATCGAAACATAAAATGAAGAAAAAAATTGAAACCATCCGAACTAAATGCACTCTAATATTCCATCTCAGACACCCGTTTTGAGAATTTAGAAAACTACAGAAAGGAAACTACAAGAACTCCTACAAAAGGTAGTGAAGAAAAGAAGGAAGAAAGGACTAAACACCAACTGAAAGAAGACAGAATTGCATGGTTGCTAGCAAAACGGACAATCAAAGATACAAATTGGGGATATTAAACTCAAATAAGTACAAAAATTTAGATATATGGGCGTATTCATTTAACAGAAGGCAGAAAATGAGTATGACACTGAAATCAGAAAGTGCATTGGTTTTCACTAAAGATGCTTTCTAAAGCTAAGCAGTGTATTAAGAAATAGAAAAAAAAACTTTGTTAGAAACAAAGAAAAGACTACTGAACTGTTATGTGATATCTGTCCTCCTGTATGGCAGTGAGTGCTAGACAATCTCCTCAAAGATGAAGAAGTGACTTGAAGCAACAGAAATGTGGTTCAACAGATGAATGCCGAGAATAACATGGACTGAATATATGAGCAATGACAAAGTTTTAGAGAAAATGGAAACAAAAAGGAATCTTATAGTTAACATCAGGAAGAAATTCTTAGTGTGACACTATTTGACACTGGTGAATGGAAAGAAAGGGTTAAATCAAAAACATAACTTGGAACAAGGCAAAAAGGGTTAATGAATAGAACGAGGGACAGACCGAGAGACAGAAGGAAGATTTCTTTTTTCCAAAAGAGAAATCTTAACATTTAAAAAAAAAAAAAAAAAAGAAAAAATTACTTGAAAGAAAGTGATATTACCACAAAGAAGCCATGTGGTGATCTTTAAGCTGGCAGCAGATTAATGAGGCATTGTAACCAAATTAAGAGAATAGAGTTTCTTTGTATAACCTAGGGTATTTGGAGTGCAATGACCCTGGCAGGATTAGCGGGATGGTTGACCAGAGGAACAGGCTGGTAAATTTCTGATTTTTAAGAAAAATCAAGCTGAGAAAATTTCGCTTACAGGAAATTTCAAATGGTAATTTTAATTAATGACCATAAGTTAAGCCACGCCAAGCGGTCGCGAGCCAGATTAGTTAAATGATAGCCAAGGTGGCAGGCACAGGTGAAATATCAAAGATAGTGGAGGAATTGCCTACACCCATTTGGAAGTGTTGGTGTGAGGTACCAAAATGAGAAGGAAAGAGTTAGGGTGGATTGATATTCTGCGACCACTCCTTATGGAAGAGGGGATCTCCCCAAAATTGGGCATGTAATTAATTTCCCATGACCAGACAACAATGGGCTCTTGTTGGCAATTAGGGGAATCACCAGAACCCCAGGCCACGTCATACCCCATGTCTGTTTTGGGCAAAGATCCATATAAACAGGAGATCGAAGTGGCTGAGACAATTGTTCCAGATGCCACACAAGAAATGACTACTTCACCTGATTTCACGTGACTTCCTGCCTGAAGGAAACCTCCAACATAAGCCTTGTGCCAGAAGCCTTGTTCAGATTTAGCTGAACCAACTGAAATGTCACATTTAACTTACAAAGCGGTAAAGGTTGATATATTTTTTTTTTATGAAGAACTAATAATTTTAATATCAAGAATTAACCAATTCCTAAACAGAAAACTTGTATATAAAAACATTTTCTTTTACTCAAATTATTTTTTTTTATTTGTAACTTCACTCTGCCAAGACCAATACAACGATTCCCATCAACAATTCAATCCTTGCCAGCCTTATGATCAAAATCAAACACAATGTGAAATAGGCAAAGTTTGGATTGAAGTGATCAACACATTGATCAGCCACAGGGATTGGAAGGCTAAGTTAGGACACATAATAAGGAAAGAGAGCTTGAAAAATCTGATACTCACAAGACAGTTAAGAGGGAGAGAGGAAGGCAATGTATAACATAATGAGCTTGAGTAATAGCAGAACAAGGTTTAGAAGAAATAACAAAACAACAAAATTTATTAAGAACTACAAAGTACAGGAAATTGTGGAGAACCATGATTACCTACATCCCTGAAGGGACATAGCACATAAAGAAGGATAAATAAATATATATATATATATATATTTTGAACAATAAGAAAATAAAAAATTAAAATCATTAGACACACTGGGTTGTAGATTAATATTCTTTCGTTTTTTTATTATTATTATTCCATTTAGATTCCTTGACTAGTTTTAGGACCAGAAATGGCCATCATCGGGAGGAGAAATATTTCTGCTTGCTGTTGGCAGTGAACTACAAATATATATATATATATATATATATATATATATATATATATATATATGTACTAGTGGCCGTGACTCAATTTTTGAGTAATGTCATTGCTTGATTTATCCTTAAATATGGGTAATACAAATGTCACTTTTTAGTCCTGCTACGGTCTTATATTCTCTCATGCAGATGTGGCAACATTGAACACATCTTGCAGTAGTTGTTACATTAATATTTTGGTGAACTTCCATACAACATTTTATACACATGCACACACAGAGAATTATGTACAGGTAATATATGTGCACTGAACAAGGGTCAGCAATATAAACAATTCAGAAAAGGATGATAAATGGTGCAGGCAAATAAACTCTTGATTAGAATATTAGGTTACTTAAAAGAATAAAATTGTCATGAAATAATTATATTTGTAATATTTGTATGCACTTACAGCTATTTCATTTTATTTCTCTGAAGTGATTTATTTTCATAACTTTCATCTGCAGTTTGAAATAAATAGAAGCAGAACAGTTTCATTTGTTTTATTGGACAGAATCATAAATACTCAGTTGATGCCATAAATTTTAATGTTCAAATTCTGGTAATGCCTCTCATGGCAACAAAAAAACCCAAAAAAAACAGATGACACTGTTGATTATCAGCAGCAGCCACTGCTGACAATTGCCTTTCTTAACTTCTTCCCTGATGGCTAACCAATTGCTAGTCTCTGTCATACCTTACCAGAAAACTCCTCTATGCATCTCTCTTTGGTCTCCTACTGCATTTACTATCCACTGGGTACAATTTAACCAACCCTTGGATCCATCTGTTATCCTTACTTTATGCTTTGTGTGCTGTTCACCATCATTACATCACTTGCATATATTTATTTTGATCTCTTCTTAAATACATGTTAACATATTTCTCATTACTTCCTTTTCTATTGATCTCTCTTTATCTCTATCTACCTCAAAATTGGCATTCTCTGTTCATTATACACTTTTATTTTGAACATCTTGGCAAGGTGCTTTTCTTTGTTTCTATTTTTACTGAACACACACACAGATCTCAAGTTAATTTTAATGAATAAAATCAATTAGAACAATTGTTACCTCTCCATCTCTCTGTAGACTGGAATATGTGAGTGTTGTGAAACAGATGAAAATAAGATTGGAGGGGGTGAAGAAAAGAAAAAAATTGCTGAAAAGTAAAGAGAGAACAATGTGAGAAGAATGAAAAGGAAGAAATAAAAAGAAGAATAAACTGAAGAAGGAATTAAAAAAGGAAAGAGAATGAGTGACAAAGGAACCCAAAGAATGAAGTGTGAAAATTCAAAAGAGAGAAGGAAAGTGAAAAAAGAAAAACAATAAAGAGAATGAAAATGAAGAAAAATGTCAGAATTTTTGATTGGAGGTATGCCAAAAAGGACCCGCTGGAACAGGGCAGTCGTCTCTCGTCGGCTCCCTCGGTCTCAACTGCCAAAACATTTAGACACACTCATTTTATAGACCATGATGAAGCAACTGATTGGTTGAGTGGGAGAGTTTTGCATATGCGTAGACATACTCCGCCAATTCTCCCTTCCTTCAACTGTTCTGCGATACCATATGCATGGCAATGATGTCATGTATCTTGCTCACAACAATCACAGTATCATCTTTGTATGCCTTTTTATGTGGCCATGCATGCTCCTTTTAGCTGCTATATTCCCAATATTTCAACCATTACACCCTCCAACGTTTTTAAAATGAGTGTAACAACTAAAGATAATAAGGCTCATAATAATAAAATCATAAAAAAGATAAGAATAAAAGAATACAAGACTTCAGAGATTATAACTGCCATTTTAGATTTTTTTTTTTGTTGTTGTTTCATATAAAACGGGTCATAAGACATTAAATATAATATTCAGTACTTTTATGATGATTTATCATATAACCAACATTTTACAAATCTTGGACATTTTGTATTATAAACCCAAGTCCACAATCTGACAAATCCTTTGTAATGCCTTAGGTTGATCTGTGTCTGTCATAAGATCATTTCCCCATGGCAATTGACATCCATGGAAATTAAATTTTTGCTGTCTTTAGGGACTTGTAGACAAGAAAGAAAAACATTTCATGGCTTCCATCCTTACAGGTAAGACTAAAATATACGTAAAGTGTTCAACTACCATATTTCATGGACATTTGCCAATAGATGTTTTACTGGATGGGAAAATTCACTTACAGTTTTTATTATAATAATTCTCATTCTCTCTCTCTCTCCTTTTTAGAAAAGTGATAACTTACAATTGGAGGCCAAGAAATACAAGGATTAGATGTCCACCCACTTATCTTCAAGATTATGCTGCATGATTTCTATGAAGAAAGGTGAATGTTTGTTTGTTTTTTTTGTTTAGTGGTTTATCAATTCCTTATGGATCATTTAATGATGAAACTTAATTTTCTTCTGAACATTAGTAATTTATTTTACAAAAACTACACAGGTTTTATAAAATAAATTACTAATTGTAATTGCTGGTAATTTTTTTTTACTATGAAAATGTATTGCTGGTATTTTTACCATAAAGTTTTTTTTTATACTTTTATAATATTTTGAGCCTAGTTTGTGGGTTAACTATTTGCCCATAGCTGGGATCCTAACAGGTGCTACCATCCTGAGTCAGGGTGGACCTGGGAGCAAAAGCAATTAAGAAGTGGTTCCACACACCTTAAAACCTTCCAATCAGAGGCCTTGCTGCTGGACTGAATGTAATAAAATTGTACGATTAGGTAAAAGAAATTGTCTCATCTAGTTTGGACTGTTCCATAATTATTTTGAAAATATTCATGTTTGTTTTATTTTTTTTCTTTTGTTTTTTCATTTGTATTCACCTGTGGAACTCACTTCCAGCTTCATACTTTCTTGTCAACTACAATATTTAAAAGTTTAAATGTAATCTGACGTTTTTTATTTAAGCTTTTTAACCTCAAATATGGCTGAAAAATTTGCAAAAGTCATGAACTGTATTTTAACATAGGTAAGGATATTGTATATTAGTCTTTCCCATGTACATTATCAGTAGAATAAGTAAAATTAATTCTAGTTTGGTATCATAAAATATATCTTAAAATATTTTTCACTAGAGGAACAATGGGTAATAAATGGATAAGGACTCATTATTGGCCACTGTGCTGTCCACAGGGTGTGGTAATACCTTCCATCAGGTTATTCACAGAACACAAGTGAGACAGTAAATCAAGCGATGTTAAATGTTCCCAGGATTTCAGAAATGGAATGCCTCAATCTATAGAGCACACACACTCATTGCACACTGTTCAAACTTTAATAATTCATGTCATTTTTATATTATCAGCCAAGCTGTGTTAAAAATCAGTTCATTTTAGATAAAAATTATTCAGAAATTCTGTATCTCTTTTCTGGTCTGTGTGTCTTTTAGATCCTTATGGCTGTGGAGTGAACTTTGTCTTCACTTTTTACCTTGTACCTGAGACCTTGTGGCAAAATTCTAGTAAATAATTTCTGTTATCTTTTGTTAAGGATCAATGTATAGTACCTGTTTCCTTCTAAGTTTTCTAAAACTATACTTTGAAAACCAATTCAATTTTTAGTGCCCAGCCAGGGTTGAAAAATTTGAAGGAAATCAGTATAAATTGGTAAGTCATAAACTGTATTTTAACATGACATGTAAGCACATATTGTATTTTAATCTTTTATGTCTTTTCTTGATAGTAAAATAATGAAAATTAATTTTCATTAAAATATGTTCCCCTGGTCGAACAATGGACTCAAAAAGGTTAAACAACCCGAAACAGATACAACACTTTTTGTAATGATATATAAATATTTGATCATTTGCATATGGACAAGACACTCTCCATAATCTCAAGTAGTCATGAGAGGATTTGTCAGTAGTAATTGTGAGAGATTTGTGAATACTATTATGACACATCACTGATAGGATGCCAGTTAGAAGACTGTGATTTTGTGGACACATGGTTTAGGTGCTTTCATGCCTGTATTATGACAACAAAGCCAAGGAGAAAGAAAATGAAGTCACAGACCTTTTTGTATTGACTGTGGGAGTTGAGGCTGTCAGAAAAGTTTTAATAATGATGCAATCCTCTGAAAAAGAGAAAACAGATATCTTTCTACTGAGACTGATTCTAAAGAACCATACCACAATCCAGAAAACTAAAGAATCCACTGATAGGAAGACAAATAAGATATCCTCCAATGGTGTCATATTTTAAAAATCAAAGAATGTCGTAGAAAAGACAAATTATCTAATGCAAAAAATCCATAATATAGAGCTGAAAGAAATCAGCTAAGCTGTATGTCTAGACACATCGGATGCAAGAAATTTAAAATTTAATGTTTAGTGTCCCTACATCTACAGCATTCCTATCTATGTATAATTATAATTGATTGTTTTGCTTAGATTTTCATCTCGGCCCACTAAAACTATAGAATTTCATCAATAAAGAAAGAGGATTGATTTTATTTATCCATCCCTTTTCTTTACAAATTGCTTTGTTTATGTTAGGATATGAAACTAAGCAGATATGTCTATTTCAAGAGTCAGAGAAAAATCTGTGTTTAAAGGCACTATGCTTAGTCATCAACACACTCTGTAGCCGAGAGGTCAAAGCATGTCAGATCTAATGACTGTTTCCTGTTGGGGACCACAGGTTCAAATCTTGCTGGAGAGCACATATTTTTCTTTAATAACATTTCTCAAATATTCATACCAGTTGATAAAAATAAATCTACTGTTTAATAAATAAATGTAGTGTCTACTCAAATATGATTATCCACTAAAAATAACATTTAGCTAAAAAAATCTGTTGCGTTAATAAATAAGAAAATCCATCATCTTTCTTTACAATCTGCTTTGTTTACATTAGGATATGAAACTGAACAGATAGGTCTATTTCAAGAGCCAGAGAAAATTGTGTTTAAAGGCATTTTTCAAGTTTGGTTGGTCATTGATGCACTCTGTAACCAAGAGGACAAAGCATATCAGATTTGATAACAGTTTCCACTAGGTGAACACAGGTTCAAATTCTGATGCACATATTTTTCTCTAATAAGTTTTCATGAATATTCTGGATAGTAGATAAAAATAAAAAAAATTATACTCTTTAATAAGTAAATGGAGCGTCTACTCAAATATAAGTATCCACTAAAAATAACATCAAAATACTAAAAGTATATAATTCCATCAATGAGAACATTATTTTAATCTAATTTATTCTCTGCTGAAAACTCGAAAAATGTTTTTACTATTTACTTTTTTTTTTATTCAACAATAGCAGTAGATAGGTTTGCATTACAACCGGTTTACACTCTTCCCTAGCTTTTGAACAGGAGTAGAAATTTATCCCTTGTTTGTTGTTTAGGATTGAGCTTCCAGTTCCTTCTAAAGTCTTTTCCTTCTCTTTCATTTCTGGTGACCCCTTGCATCTTGGTGGCATTGTCACCTTCCTTGGGGTGATGCCTCTTACTCTGTAATCCTCTACCTCGAGTGACTCTTGAGCCTTGTACTGGATGAACATCATTGTAGAAATATAGTCATAATAGAAAAACAAGGGAGCTGTATAGTAGCCCATACAGATCAAATAAGGTCCAAGATGAAACCAAAAAAATGGATTAACAAATGTCAAAGGATATTAAGAATGGTAATTATTATGAAAATAATCATGATATTCTGATGGAGGTGGGTAAAAATCTCAATGTCCAAAAAGTTATGAAAGTTATGATGAAGATCAATTGAAAGAAGATAGCCATGAATAAAAAAAATAGTGAGACAGATGAGAATCTCTGGCGAATAGAAATATAATCAGATCTATGGAAGGATTGGTTTGGTTTATTTTGTTTTATGGCACATCAACCTCAATGGGTCATTTAATGCCGACAAAATTTTTTATTGCAGGTAATATTTTGTTTGGTCAAAAATCTGTTTCTGGTAATATTTTTCCTTCAAAATTGTACTGCTGGTAATAATTTTTTTCAAAAAAGTATTGCTGGTAATAGTTAACTATTTGCCCATAACTGGGACCCTAACAGGTGCTACTACACCGGGTCAGGGTGAACCTGGGAACACCAGCAATTAAGAGGTAGTTCCATGCTCCTAAAAAACTCCTGATCAGAGGCCTTACTGCTGGACGTAGTTTCATGTCTTACCCAGGAAAGGAGTATGAGAAGTAGAGCATGAAAATCCTAAAAATGGAACAGAGTGTAGAAGACACAAAAGATCGACCAGGGGAATAAAATCTCTAAGTTTCATGAAGAGATAATGATAGGTAAATATAAGAGTGTGATAATTTGGATATGGACAAGATTATATAATCACAAGTAGTTATGAGAAAAGGAAATTCATCAGTCATGATTACAAGTAAATTCCAAATACATCACAACACTTTT